GAATTCAGCATGACTGTTTCGTGGTTACTTCTTTGTTAGATTAGGTTAATAAAGGAATGGTGGAGATAATCTTTGCAATGAATTTTCCATGGCTCTCCAAGTCACAGTACACAGTATTTCCTTGGGCCATTCTAGTTAAGTCTGTCACTTCAGAAACTCTGTGGCCTCTTTTTAGGATGTGAGTCTAGGCTTTGGGGTCACAATATTTCCTACTTTGAAAGCTGAGTATCCCCCCCGGTGTCACTGTCTCGTCTTGTGTGATATCCTCTCGCAGCCCCAAGTATCCTCTAACCAGAGCCTGTGATCCACACAATTACTGCCTTCTACAACTTAGATTTACCTGTATGTTGAACAGCTATGATAAAAAGTGACAACCTCTTCATGACTAAGAGCTAAACTCAGTTTAATTATGGAAAGGTCAAAAAGGTGTTTTTCCTACCCTAAGTTGGATTATAGAAATTTAAGTGTAGAAAAAAACAGCATTATTTTAGCCAGCCTCAAGAGCTTCAGTGGACAAAAATAACGAAGGAAGTGACAATGAAAAACATCAAATGTCAGAGAACTAGTCTTTTTTTATACTTAAATCAGCAGGATGTGTTCGTTTAAACCACTCGGCCTCTGTCCCAGATAAGATTCAACAACCAAAGTTTGTTCTAGCAGAAGAGAAAAAAAAAATTATTCGAACAACGTATCACAATTCTGCAAACTAAAAAAAAAAAAATTGAAACCATAAACTTTTTTCTCATTTCCTTCTTTTGTACTCTGAACCCCCAGGAAAAGCTCTCAGAAAAATAGACGCGCCCAGGTGTAAAACAGTGCCTCAGCACAGCTCCTGTACCAGATTCCATGCTCAGAGGGGGGCAACATATTCTCCCTCTGGCACGGAGCAGAACCCTGAACTCATCAAAGGTGTTAAAATGGGAAACGGGAAGAAAGAGCTTGATGAGCCACTCGAATCACAATTGCTTGGGGGCTCTTATACTATTGAGTGAAAGTTCCTGTCCTTAAATTTTCCGTGGTCAGTACATCACTGTCTCTGCAACCCAGCAAAAAATGATTCAGGCCATGGCAAATGTCCATGGAAAGAGGCCTTGAGGGACTGACTTACCTGCCATGACATCTCTCTCCTTGGCCTTGCACCGGCATCTGACAAGTGAAAACTCAGAGAGATGATGGCTCAGACAAAATCGTGGAAACATCCCTGTGGGACCCATGACTCAGGACATATATAATCCTGGGTAAATCTGGCAGGATGTCTCATAACCTCAGGGACACCCTCTTGTGTCAGCACCTTGACAATGTGCTTTCACAGCTCAGCTCGAACAGGAATGGAGGTTAGGGACGATGCCAACACACCAATATGAATGAGTGTGTTTGCAGCACTGTGGGAGTTGGATCAAAACATTAAGATATACCGAAGAAGCTTTACAAGTGTGAGGGAAAAGTGTAGGGAAAAAAGAAAAACCCACAAAAAACAACAACCGTATTTAAAAAGGGAGGTGGGGGGTAACTTCTTAGCAACCCTTGGGACAAACGGATATATATGGATATACACGACAGTAATGGTAGGTTATGGATAGCTAATCTATAGTAAAAGTGACATTCTTTTAATACCAAATAAGTTTGTGAGTGACACAAGATCAACTCCTAGGCGCCCTACCATTAAAAGGCTTTGATCTCTAACAGCCTTCCTTGTTCTTACTAGAAAATTAATGGACAACTTAAAATGAAATCATAAAAATTCTGACATCTTCAATTTGACCCAAAGACCTTGACACAAAGCTCTTCTGAGAGACTGTTAATAGTCCTCAGCTAAAGGGGAACCATAAAAAAGGAGTCAAAATCTGGAAGTACAGAAAATTAAAACAATACACAACTGGAAAAAACTCTGCTCCTTAACTGAACTTTATGTGACCTTGAAAGCTCACAGTAGTCTAAACTGTTTGATTTTCAAATAGGGAAATGCTTAATTTTATTCCTGTGCACGACATACGCTAACTTCATAGAGGAGGTGTTTTCCATTTGATTTCACTGACCATGAAACAGGTTTGTGAAGATGACCCATGCATATCATTATCACAACCATATCAGAGCATTTCTACTGACACAATGCTTCCAAATACTAGATTCTAATTCTCCTACAACTCAGAATTTTCTTAAAGTGTAAATCCGGTAATAAAAAGGCTGCATAGTTGCTTTCCTCTTTTGTAACGGCAGGAAAAAAACAAAAACAAAAACAAAAAAACTTGATTAAGAGAAACCATAAAACTCTCTGGATTATACTAAAAATTTGTAATGCAAATTTAAAAGTCTAAACCAAAATTTTCCATGAGGATCCAGAAAATCACTGTCCCCAAGTTTTCCTCCCCGGTTGTAACCCATTATCCCAATTTCAGTCCCTTGTTCAGTGGCTAAAATGATACAAGATTTTGAAAATTAAGATTTCCCTTTCACAACTTAAAAAGATTTTATGGCTATCACTGAGGAATTCCTGAGGTAAGCCAACCTCTTTTAATGTATACATTTAAATTAGAGAATTGTTTAGGGATATTAAGAAATACAGAAAAATAATATAAGCAACACTTCCACATACCCACTGTTCTGCTAAGAAAGGAAATGTTGTAATTATTCTTACAGCTGTATGTGAATCCCTCCCTTCTACTCCTTTATCCCCACTGGTAACCAGAATACTGAATTGAGAATTTATGATGTGCACTCATGCATATATACCTTTACTACGTGTGTATAATTGCTTTTAAAGTTCCCATAAATTATACTGTACTCCATGGATCTTCTGCCATTTGCTGATTTTGCTCAACTTTTTTTTTTAAGATTTTATTTATTTATTTGACAGAGAGAGAGAGAGATCACAACTAGGCAGAGAGGTAGAACTAGAGAGAGGGGGAAGCAGGTTCCCCGCTGAGCAAAGAGCCTGTTGCTGGGCTTGATCCCAGGATCCTGAGACCACGACCTGAACCAAAGGCAGAGGCTTTAACCCACTGAGCCACCCAGGTGCCCCTTGCTCAACTTTTTTTTAAAGATTTTTTTTGCATGTCAGAAGTTTTATACAGAAGAACTTTAAGAATTTCTCTAGAGTATATAAGTAGATCTGCTGGATCTAGGATAGGCTACCTGTCAACTTGCCTTGATATTATCAAAATCTTTAAGTGGTCATAAAAATTTCTGCCACAGCCAGGAGAGACTACCTTTCCTCTAACATCCTTGCCAACAATTGATATTGTCACACTTAACTATTTCTTTATAAATCTAGTAGTTTCTAATGGTGTACTAGACATTTTGGATGCTACATTTTAGAGTTTGGATTCTGTTATATTCCTCTTAAGAGTATTTGGTCTTACTCTAACAGGCAAATAAATTGTTGGTAGTTTACCTTGATCATATAGGGGCTTGGTTTTAAGTTTTATTAGAGTGGCTCTGTATCGTTTTGCTCTTAACTTTTAGTGCAGTTCTTTAGTCCTGGGATATAGTTTTTTATTCCTATGCTGTGGCCCTTCGGGACTTTCAGTGGAAAGCTCAGATTGCTCATGAAGCCCTTCTAACATCAGGTTCAAATTCCAAAGTCTGTCTCTCCTACACTGGGCAGCTGCTGAAATTTCTGTTCAGCTCTCAAAGACTTCTAGCTACTGTGTTCCACCTGGGCTCCTAGGGTAAAACTCACACATGAGAATTGAACAAGAGTTTATACACAGATTTTGGGGCTCTCTCTTTGTGGCTCCTTCATGTAGGTGATATCTTACTCTATCTCCAGGCACTCTGGCTGCATCAAACTAAGCCCTCTGACAATGAAGACTCTGATTTTCTTCTCGAGTTCTATCTGTCCTTGGGCTTATAGATTGGAGAATGCCCCCAAGAGAAAAATATGGATCTTACCCAATGTGGTACCCTTCATCCAAGAACCAAAATTTCTCCAGTTTCTGACCACTTATAGTCACTCTCCAGTGCTTTCAAACTGTCTTCCTTCTTAAGTGTTTTTCCAAAGTTTATAATTGTTAAAATTGGTAGGATTCGCTGGCAATAGAACCCACTCTGCCATTTCCAAAAGGCAGAACCTTGATGAACAGAAGCAAATCTTGATGCACTCTCATTTCCCAATCTGTTCATTCTATGTTTCATGGTATTTTTAAGCCTTGTTTAAGAAATTCTTTCCTATCCCAAGGTCAACTTGTATATTTTATTCTAAAAGATTTTTTTTCTGAAGTATTTAAAAAAATATTTTGGTCTTTAATTCACTTGGAATTCCACTTCTTAAGCACGGCTTAAAGTAGAAATACAATTTCATTTTATTTTTACGAGCAGATGAACAAATTTTCCCAGTCCCATTCCTGAAGAGTCCACCCTTTCCACTCTGATCCATGAAGTGCACTGTCATAAATCCAGTCTCATAAACATCTCAGTCTGTTCCAGGCTCTCTCTTCTGTTCCAGTGTTTGTCTAAGCATACACTTATATTGCAATATCTTAATTACTACATCTTTATAGTAGGTCTCGTTATCTGGTAGAGCAAGTCCTTCCACTTTGTTCTCCAAGATTGTTTTGCCTTTTCTTGGCCCTTTGTATTTTTCAAATAAATTTTAGAATCAATTTGTCATGTCACATGAAAGCCCTGTTGGGGAGAACTAACATCTTTAAAATATTAAATCTTCTCATCCACAAATTTGGTATATTTTTTCATACATTCTAGAATTCCTTCACGTCTATCAACTTCTATAAATTCTCCAAAAATGATATTTTTGTCGCTATACTCCATATTTTAGAATATCTTTTTAAAATGTTACTTTCTCAAAGTATCTTTTCATCCAACTTATCCCAATGCACTCTACCATATCAAATGAATTTCATCAAAGTTGTTTACTGAAGCTATAAACTCTAAGATTTACTTGTAATACACAATCTACAGGATAACAGTAATTTAGCACTCCCATCTGTAAACCATTTTTTTCATGTCATGGATTTATCAAGTATCTTATCCGATATACTCACCAAGAAGCTCCATGGTCTCTACTTTCAGTGTCCAGGAAATTAGAGTCCAAAAACATGTCTTTGTAGATTCGACCAACGAGGCAATACATATCGGAGGCAACCTGCCCTTCACTTTGCACCAGCGGGATCATAACATCAAGAGCTTTGGCTCTATCTCCAGGGAGATTTCTCCTAAGGTAGGGGGAGAAAAAAATATCACTGTTTCAATATAGATCACAGAAGCAATGTAGGCCTTTTTAAAACTCTGCTTGATATTTTGATTCACACTAGTGAAGTCTGGCAGGATAAAGACAACCATAGATTTTGAGAGTTCCCTGTAAAGCTGTGTCCTAAGCCTTTTTGTCTTTTCATCCTACTGCATGTCTACTGGATTTAACAAGGATCACTTTTGAGCTCTTTCCTGATGACAGTGATAGGTTTGGTTTGCATTAACCCATCTATATAGTCCTTCTAATTTCGCAGCCCATAGGTTCATGGTTCATAGGTTCAAGGGCATGAAGTACAATTAGGAATGCAGTCTGTGGCCTTACATGGGGCAGCTGACCAATCCAGACATGGACCAAACCCTGACTTTAGGTTTCAACGGCTTCTGCTCCAAAACACTGTGCAAACTTATTCCAGACAACACCAACAAACCAACTTTAAGCCAAGAGCTGCCGAAGTCTATGTGTGATCAGATGATGATCTAAGGAAGATGCTTTAGGTAGGTCATTTTAAAATAGCAAATATGTGTAGTTCATTCTCAAAGCCAGATAAAAATTCTCTTAAAGGGAAGCCTGGGTGGCTCAGTTGGTTAAGTGTCTGCCTTCAGCTCAGGTAGTGATGCCAGGGTTCTGGGACTGAGTCTTGCATCAGGTGCTTTGCTCAGCAGGGAACATGCTTCTCCCTCCGCCTGCTGCTCCCCTGTTTCTGCTTGCTCATATGTGCACATGTGCATAGTCTCTGATGAATAAATAAATAAAATCTTTTTTTTTAAGATTTTTAAAATTTTTGCTTATTTGACAGAGAGATCATAAGTAGGCAGAGAGGCAGGCAGAGAGAGAGGAGGAAGCAGGCTCCCTGCTGAGCAGAGAGCCCAATGTGGGGCTCGATCCCAGGACGCTGGGACCATGACCTGAGCTGAAGGTAGAGGCTTAACCCACTGAGCCACCCAGGCGCCCCATAAATAAAATCTTTAAAGAAATTCTCTTAAAAATTATTTCTTGGACCTTAAGAACATTATGCTAAGTGAAAGAAGACAGTCACAAAAGATTACATATAATAGGATTCCATTTATATGAAATGTCCAGAATAGGCAAATCTAGAAACCAAAAATAGATTAGTGGTTGCCTAGGTCTGGGAGATTTGTGGGGCATGGGGAGAGTGAATACTAATGGGTTTCCTTTTAGGGAGATGAAAATGTTATATTGTGTTGATGGTCATACAATTCTGTTACTATATTAAAAAACCATTAAATTGTACACTTTAAATGGGTGAATTGTATGATATATGAATTATATTTCAATAAAGTTGCTACATAGAGTTATTTCTCTTCTCCACTATGACTTCAAATACATCTGGTCTATGAAATACCTTTTTACACTTTGTCCTAAATACCTTGAGCTTATAATAACCCTTCATACAAATATGTTTATCAGTTCATCATATTGTATTTTAGGAAAGGTAAGGATAAAACACAAAGAAAAATCTAAGAGGCTCTATGGACTTTGATTTTTCATTTCATAAAAAAGAACATATTCCATATTCTGTCTTTCAGGAAAGATTTATTTGAGAGCCAGCTGGAGCTGGTAATCTCTGGAGGTCTCATCTCACTCTGTCAAATCTGAAGAAAAAGATGTTTAATAAATGGGGAAATGAAATATACGTCCATTCTACACTTATTGATAACGTTAGCAAGCATAAAGGAGGAAAGAAAGAATCTCTAGTTGAATAGTGTGCTGACTTCTTTCGTTGCAGACGGAGGCAGGAGGACCTAGTGATGAAGAGCAAAGACATCAGTATGGGACAGATCCAGGTTTGAGCCTCAGTTTTATGACTTGCTAACTATGGGCTCTGAAGAAAAGCGATTCAAGGTCTCCAAGCTTCAGCTTCCTCATCTGTAAAATAATCAAGCCTTAAGTGACACACAGCAAGTGGTCCAGAGACATGATGTCCCTCCCTTTCTCTTTCGCTCATTCTCTTTAGTTTTGCAACTGTATATATATTTAACTCGCCACCAGGGAAGACAGCAGCACAACTAACAAGCTTTGGACAGCTCAGTGTTTTGGGCCTCTCCATGCCTCTCCGAGCATGGCCGGCCTCCTTGGTAACTTGGGGTAGGACGTAGCACTGACGTATGTGCCATGATGTGGACAGAAGGCCGACAGGCAGGACTGGAAGTAGCACCCTTCATGCGGGTCTTAGCAGATTTCTGGATACATGCCCTAAAATGTGGCCAACGGAGTTCTGATTGTAATTAGATATGTTCAGGGCAGTGAAAATGAAAATATTCTCTGGTTAGGAATATGTTCACCTAGACATAACTACCATTACCCTACTTAGCAAATTTTTTTAAAGATTTATTTATGGGAGAGAGAGAGAGAAAGAGTTGGGGCAGAGGGGAAGGGGCAGAGGGAGAGAGGAGGAGTCTTAAGCAGACTCTGAACTCAGCACAGAGCCTGACACTGAAATTGATCCCATGACCCCAAGATCATAACTGCAGCCAAAACCAAGAGTCCGACACTTAATGAACTGAGCGACCCAGATGCCCCTCTACTTTGTAAATTTCTAAGTAAAGAATCATTTGGGGTTGAGCATATTTGCCTAAAAATAACATTATATTCGTGCAATTAAAAATATTCTAAGCAAGTATAAATAGCAAATACAAACTCAGAGAAAAAAGAATTTTTTTAAAAAGATTTTATTTATTTATTTGACAGACAGAGATCACAAGTAGGCAGAGAGGCAGGCAGAGAGAGAGGAGGAAGCAGGCTCCCTGCTGAGCAGGGAGCCCAATATGGGGCTTGATCCCAGAACCCTGGGATCATGACCTGAGCTGAAGGCAGAGGGATTAACCCACTGAGCCACCCAGGCGCCCTGAGAAAAAAGAATTTTAAGAATTTAAGGAATAGCATGGAGGACATTAGGGGAAGGAGAGGAAAACTGAAGGCAGGGGGAATCAGTCAGGGAGACAAACCATGAGAGACTATAGACTCTGGGAAACAAACTGAGGGTTTCAGAGGGGAGGCACCCGGGTGGGGGGGAATGGGAATTCAGAAGGTCACAGGTTGTAATGAACACTGCATGTTATATGCAAAAAATGAATCATGGAACACTACATCAAAAAACTAATGATGTACTGTATGGTGTCTAACAGAACATGATAAAAAATAAACAAAACAAAACAAAAATAAAGAATTTAAATATATAAACTGCAGGGGCTTTTTTTTTTACTGTCAAAAAAATAAAAGAAGAATGCATATGCTTCCTATATTTCATATGGTTGAAGCAGAAATATTAATATTACATTCCAATAGGGAATGGCTGCAATGCTACAGCAAAAACATATCCTGGGAAGAAAACGCAGGTTATAAAATAGTATGTTAGCATAGTACGAACAGAACCTTTTCTTACCTATTCAGTGCAAATGCATAATGAAACTTCACATGGTGATGGGAAGCCAAATCAAAGGTTGGCAGCTTTTCTAAGGTCTCTACCAGCTTCACTATAGAATCATAGTCCTTTCAAACAAAAGGAGAGTAACACAGAATTAAACCACTAGGAGAAAGTTCTGACAATGAGAGGACTTTTGACAAGCATATATCTAAATCCGAGAAGGGTGTTAAAAAGAGAACTAGGATCCATGAACTACTTTGAAGAATCTAGAACCAAAAAGAAATTGATTTTTCTTAAATAAGAAATTTGGCTTATATAGGTAAAAACCTTAAAATATAGAGTTACCACAACTGGCTCCCATTAGCATGATAACACTCTGTTGTCTAACTATGGGTGGTTTGCCTCTCCCATGGAGCTAGATTCCTGGCATGGTGTCCTAAAAATTATTTTCAAAGAAAGAATTTTCAAAATATCAAGGACATGGAGCAAATGATTGAACCTCTCTTATAAGTAACAAGATGATGTCATTTCAAGTTCCCCTAGTCTTGGGATCTGAAATACCACACCTCTACATGTATGTTAATTTCTGTTGTTCTCATGAAGCTTTACTTGGGCCTGAAAGGCTGCGTGGGAATAAGAAACTAGAAGTCACTTAGATTTTACTATATAAAAATCTAAAAACAAATTCCCAACTCAGAGAGGATTGCCTTCAATTTACCATATTTAAAAAATTTTAAGACATGTCAATAAAATTAAATGGCACATTGGTGTGTTTTACATGAGAAAATTTTTAAGTTATTTTTATAATTAATCAGTTGCATATTTCTTGGTCCTGGCTAGTTAGATCTATCACTATCAATTTCAAGCAACAGAATTCCCAGGAGTAAGAGCTATGTCCAGAAAGCTCCCCCTCCCACTTCTGCTATTTGCCACAACAAAACTTTCACTTATTGTCTGACAGGTGTGTCTGAGGCTAACAAATTAGTATAGGTTGTCCACAGGTTAGCTACGTACACAGATTTTTCTTTTTGTTCTTCTGGAGGAAAAACTCGGACCTTTACCATGAAAGTACTTCGTTACGTAATCAAGGATGGCTAACTCATAGGAGTCTTTTCCATTCATCATAAATTCTCAGGATAGAGAGCTTAGAAAAGGCAATAAAAAAATTACATGTAGTGACCTGAATGACCTCTCAACTAACCGAAATGTGATGCTAACTCTCCCTTATTCCTCCAACATGCTACACGACAAAGAATTTCCTGTAAGCATCTTCTCACCTGGATATCTCTGTAGGAAAGTAAGAGGTTTATGACAATATCTGCTGTCAAGACTTCGATATTATCTACTCGTTGCCGAATTCTTGCCAATTCAGCTGCCAATTCTTTACCAGTGTATAAATTTCGAGCTTTCCTGATATCATTGAGTATAGATTCCCGGAAATACTGGCTGGTGGGAGAACACATTTCAAAGAGTTAATACTAGAAGGGATTTCAATGAAAAGCAATGATTGTATAAGGAAATGAATGACATCTGCGGCATTTGTAACTTTCAATTCACAGGATGCATAGATGGAACACCTCATGGATTTTGCATTATAAAGAATTTTGGGAGTCCTATATGTATTTTTTAATACTCTGCTTTGCTTTAGAAAAACTTAGGTAAATATACTGCATCTTAATGACTTTTCCAAGAACCTGCCATGTGCCACTTAAAACATCAAAACTTTATTTTTCATTGCACTGTTTTGAGTAGAAATTGTTCCAAATAAATCAGGTGTGCCTATGATTTGAACATAATATAGCCCTCACTTTCTGACTCAGCCTCATCACAGATTACCCTAACTGGTTTTTCTTAACTAAAATATAATAATGTCATCAGCAATTCTGGGCAAGTTCCTGTTCTTATAGTAAAAGTCTGTGGACATTAATTCTGACAGTGTTTCTGTACTTTGAATATATATATATACATATGTATATGTATATATATATATTTTTTATCCCTACCATTACCATAATGTACTTAGCAGTTTTTTTTTTCCCCTTTCTGATCTCAAGTGGTTCTCTTCTGAATAAAGTAAACTATCAGACATCTCTTTTATCTACTTAGAAGATATCATACTTTCATTTTCCTGGTTGTTGGCTGTGTGCTATATCTGAGAAACATCCGATAAGATGCACAAATAAAGGAAGTAGGACATAGCTCTGTTATCATCATCAAACAGCATTATTCAACTTTACCTAGAACTTGCTTGTGCCACCTTCAGAAGCTGAATGAAACGATCCACAAGAGGTAAGCAAATGGGTCCAAGAAGCAGCTCGAAGTTCGGTTGCATGAGCTCCGTCAACCCCTTCATGAAGCTGCTATCACAGCAGTAGACCTTGTTGTGTGGAGTGATCATGTAAGGGACGAATGTATAGTTCCCAGTGCACATCTGTATAAAGAAGAGGTGCCAGGAGAGGTGAGCTGGCCTGGAGACTCCACACTAACAAAATCCCAAGTCCTTACTGCACTGAGTCATTTTAAATAGTCATCCTGAATGTGAAGAGAAATAGAAAAACCTCATTTCTTATTTATGACCTATGAAAGTGGAAATTTCCTCCCAATTTCTTTAATTGCTGATTGCAAATAATTAGGACTTACAGATGATGTAAAAAACAAATAAACAAACAAACAAACAAACAAAAAACAAAAAAGCCAAAAAGCAAAACAAAACAAAAACCCCCAGTAGGACAGTTTCCATCAGTCAATTAAATATTTATTCACCATCTCTGATGGCTAAGGCATTAAGATATATGCATGCTGCAGGAAAAACAGAGGAGTTTAAACACAGCCTTCAGCCTTCTGGGAAATTCAAAATTTAATCACAGAGACACAGCATAAATACATGACAAGAATAAGAACTAACATTTAAGGGCTCCGCACCTGACAGGCTATGCTGTGAGCGATGCGGAAACAAAGCTGTTCTCTCCAGGCTGCTCTGTCATGGTCACGGCTCCATTAGCCTCCTAGCTACTAAAACTAGAGACCCAGAAGTTTTCCCTGATGCTCCCATTTCCTTCACCACCCACATCCTATTGAAATCCAGTCTATTCTACCTCCAAAATCAATCTATTTGTCCATTTCCCTCCATCTTTTCTGCCCACATGGAAGACAAGGCCAACATACCCAGCCTGAGCTACCATCACTGGCCTTCAGTTGGCCTTCCTGCTTCCACTCTCCCCCCTCAATGTGTTCTCTACCCACCAATCAAAGTGATCTTTTTTTCCCTTCCAATTTCAAGTTTTTATTTAAATTCTAGTTAGTTAAGATACATGGTAAACTTGGTTTCAGGTATAGAATTTAGTGATTCATCACTTACCCCAACCTCTTAACAACCTATATCAGATCGCTTCCCTTAGCTGCCTAAGGCCCCCTCCCTTGCTCCTGGGATGAAAATAAGACACATCCCGGGGGCCTACAAGGGACTGACCACCCAAATCCTACTTTTCTCTCTGCCCTCAGCCCACGCCACTCTCCACTCACTCCTCCCGAGCTTCTCTAGATTCCCAATGATGTCAGGTGAGGGAACATTAGTGCAAGCAAAGGGAGAGCTGGGAGGAAGAAAAAGGAAACTGGATTGGACATCCCTGAGTAAGTCAGCCTGCCTGGCTCTAAGAGCTCGGGGAAGGGATGCGGATGCAAAGCTCAGGACCTTAAACAGTATGTCCTGGGCATGGGAATCAGGAAGGATTCAAAGCAGTAAAGAACACATAAGCACAATCTTAAATGGGGCTACCTAAAATGAGTGGTATCATTAGCAAAACGAAAACTCAGCAGAAGCAGACTTCATTATTTATGAACATATTACAGTTGAGGGCACTTGTTATATATCAGGTAATAAATCACAAACAGAACCTGACTGCCCGTTAATATATGACAGGAACTTCAAGAGGTTGAAACCTGGGCTGGGGTGGGAAGCGTGAAATGTTCACGATTAAAAAGGCTGAGATTTAAGGAGGGCAAGACACCGAGAGTCAGAATGTCTAGAAGAAAGCCAGAAATATGTGATTGGAACATAAAAGAGTTTCCAACAAAAGTACAGACCTGGGAATCATTTGGTGTAGTTGAATCTAAGGAAACATGAGGGACCTCTAAGAGAAAAACCATAGAGAGGAGAGGGGAAAAAAAAAAAAAGGCAGAAGGTTCACAAGTAAAATGAGTTATGTGGGAAACCCCATCACTGTTCTGGGGAGCACAGCGAGCCCAGATAATCGGATCCTAGCCATATCAGCATTACGGGGAACAATACATCACTTCGCTTCCCCTTAGAAACAAACCAACGAGAGCAAACGTTGACTCACACTTGCCATGTGTCAAGAATGAACAGTCATGAGTTCCCAATAACCCACTGAAGAAGGTACTATTGTCTCTGTTTTGTTTTTTGTTTTTTTTTCCAAAGATTTTATTTATTTATTTATTTGAGAGAGAGAGAGAGCACGAGCAGGGGGAGGAGCAGAGGCAGAGGGAGAAACAGATTCTTCACCAAGCAGGGAGGACTACTGTCTGTTTTATATGTGAGAATTCAGACAAGGCTCAGATAAGGTCATGCATCTGGTCCGTGAGGTGTTTGGGACTCTAGCCCTGGGGCTCTTCTCTAGAGGGTATCCCATTATCCATTAGAGGGGTCAGCACCCTTCCAAAGGGCCTCTACAGGCTGACATGCCAACACTTCACCTCAGGTCACTTTCGTGGAACCCTGCATGAGCCAAGCTACTGCCTCACAGCAAACAGACGAGAACTGATAAATGCCTTTATGGCCAGACTGAATTATTTATGAACATGGTCTCTGAGGCACTTGTTGTATGTCAGGCTGTGAAGCAGAAACTGGACCTGACTTCCATTTAAAGTATGAGAGGAACTTCCAGAGGTTGAGATTTGATTTTTCAATCAAACACATGAAACTGTTCTTTCCTATTTTTTTTAAGATTATTTATTTATTTATTTGACAGACAGAGATCACAAGTAGGCAAAGAGGCAGGCAGAGATAGAGGAGGAAGCAGGCTTCCCGCCGAGCAGAGAGCCCAATGTGGGGCTCAATCCCAGGACCCTGAGATCATGACCTGAGCCGAAGGCAGAGGTTTTAACCCACTAAGCCACCCAGGTGCCCCAGAAACTGTTCCTTTCTTAAGCTCTCCTCCATGGACAAATAATTTGGAAGGCTAGTCAGGAAGAGGAAAAATAAACATATCCTGCTTCTAAAATGTTTCTGACATCCCTCAGCATGTCCACCAATTTAATCCTTTTGACCTGATCCATCGCCTGAGCAGAAAAGAAAGGCAAGTGTACCAAGAGGTTGCCTCCCAAAGCTTCTAGAGCTTTAACTATGAGTGGGTTACAAAAGAACAACAAAACCAAATACTCCTTAGATAAGTACTATAACTCACAATTCAAAAATAAAATGCTCTGAATCTTCCAAGTCAAAAGTTAGGACAAACAGATGAAAAGCCAATAAACCAGAAAAGCACTATTAGCGTTTCAAAATAGTATTCTGTTGCTGCTGCCGGATAAAGTTCTGTATCCTCAGAAGCCTTAATACCACATGTCATCATGCCTAAGACATGAAATACGATACATCACTACTCAAATACTGGGCATTGGGGAATAATGCATCCGTGTAAAACTAATTCTGGGAGAGAATGACTCTCGGATGTCTGGGTGCGTAGCAGCAGCAAAGGGGTAGAGACAGAAAAACGAGAGTCATGCAAACGGCAGAGAAAAATGGGTTCTTGCAACTGTCTCCTTCAAACCCCATAGAATAAGGCTTCAGAGCCCTCACAGAAAATAATCAACATGCAAAGGTCTTTCTAAGTGCCTGGCCTCACTATACTTTCTGGAGTCTCTTCCCTATGTTTCTAAGGCAATAAATGTATTTTTTGCCAATCCCCCATTGTTGAGGAAACACAGGAGGGGGGGTTGATAAAGCTTCAGGAGCCGCAGGGATGCTCGTAGGCCTGAGCTGAGACCCCTGTGAGCATGTGGTGGGGCAAAGTGTGAGGGTTGCTTGTGACGCCTTTTTTTTTTTTTTTTTCTGCTGAGAAAAGCACATTTTTCAGAACAATGAAAACTAATACTACGGGAATCTTTTTCCCCTGGGTTGGCTCACCTCTACCTCAGGAATCTTATCACTGCAATTTCTGTTTACAGATAGCTGTTGCACCCCTAGTTTGAAATCACTGATCATTCAAAGCAAATTAAAAAAGAAAACACCGTGTGATCAAGAATAGACACCTTGGGCATAGCAACTGCCTTTTATTAATAAGGTACTAATTCTAAAATATTTAAGCTTGCTTCTTGAAAAAGAAAGCCCACATCTCCTTAAATTTCAAAACACCCGAGGTGTGCTCATAAAATAACAACAGCGATCTCTCTGGCCCACGCCTGTGTTCACGGCTATAAAAACCTGCAATTCAAAACCTAGTCCTATTCTATGATCTTTAGTTAAAAAAATAATGCTGGCTCTGTTTTTCAATTTTTAAAAGCTACATAAAGATGAACATACGTATATATGTGTGGGAAATGAATTAAGTTTCTGGGAAGAAATGCTCTCAGCATTCAAACATATTGAAATACCGGCTCAAAATCCTCAACTTTTGAGAAGGACACCCAGCCCCTGAAACCCAGCAGCTTACTCAAGCCAAGAGGTGACCTGTTCATCATGTGCAGTATTTGGAAACCTTATAACCCTGTTTCTCCACAGGTCTGACCTGCCAGTGGGTATGATTAGCTCTTTCCTCTAAGTTTCTGGTAAAGACCACCTCCTCTCAAAGACCTGTGACCATTTGGTATATGGCCACCCACTCTTCGGCACATTGCCTTGCGTTTATTTTCTAATCTGTGTCTTTGCTGATTTGTTTACCAATCTTCTCCCCGAACTAGACTCTGGGCCTAGTCACTGGCCATCTCCCAGAGCAGTTAAGAATCTGACTGCCTCGATTTTCAGCCGCCATAGTGAATCCCTGTGGCACCAAGCCCAAAGCCTGGCACACGGTATGTGTTCAATCACTATTTGTTTAATAAAAATGTTACACGAAATAGATGCCTGAAGCAATAACTGCTCATTTCCTGTGGAGATGGGCAGAATAAAAGTACATAATGACAACTTTATTTATGTTGCCATGAGTCTCTAACTTGGTACGATCTTAACCATAAGTTTTAAATCTTTCTGGTCTAAGGAAAAATTACAATTGTATTTTTAATCTTATCATCGTAAATCAAATCAGGTGCAGATCTTTAGGTAGGATATTATTTTTGCTGTAAGTTGCAAAGATGCACTCTTTGTGGTTTTTAAATACTGGTTTATTTTCCAAATGAAAAGTATAACCACTAGTATAAGAAGGCTGATGTCCTTAGATATTAAATTGTGTAATTTTTCTTCATGCATTTTTAAAATTTGAAATTTATTTTTATCACTTTTTAGCTTTTATTTAATACTGTGTGGAAGGTAAGAATTCTGTGGTGTGGTCTCAAAGGCAAACTACAAGACTCTGGAACTTAGATCAACTGTATAGATAGTTAGATAATAGATATACATGTACCTATATATGTATGTGCATATATGGGCACATTTGTACCTATAATTTGCTACATAGCATATACATAGGTACAGATATCTATATGTGTGTGTATATAAACATAAATACATGTGTATAAACATATATACACACATGTACACATATATGCAGTATGTGTATATATGATGCCTGAGTACCACTCAGAATTACACAAAATTGGATGCACTATGGGAACATTCTTTTCCAAAATATAAGTATATATGCAATAAATAGGCATTGGTGTCCTCTCCCAGTAATGTTTTGCTTTTAAAGAAATGTTTTGATAAAATAACCAAATTTATATTGATATATCAGAAACTCTAAAAAGGGAAAACAGAGAAATTAATAATTTGTGGAGGTAAAAAAAAGGCCAGAGATTAGTTGATGGAACAGAAAAGATAAAAAATTTCTGGAAGTGTTAAAGAAAATACTCACGGTATTCTTCTGGCAAATGATTTCCTGAAAAATGAGAAAAGAAAAAAAATTAAGTTAAAGTTAATATAAAATTAATTCAATAATTAATTTAACTATTTGATGTGGGAAAATATCTTAGCAATCTGAAATTTCAGGGAGTGTACCATAAGCTCCTGTATCAGAGAAATTTACAATCTGATGAAAATTAGAGAAAATAAAAAGATTCTCAATGGTTTAAAGGAAACTGTACAAACATATAAAATCCAAAAAACCATTCTTGTAGAATATGTAAGCACAGAATTATCAGCCACAACCTTTTTAGGAAAAGGCTAAAAGGAGTTCAGTTTTCCGATGTACAATATCACTCACACACTGGGTCGGGGTGGACCATGGGACTATGCAGATGCTGTCTCCTGGGAAATAAAGGGTATTGGCTACTTATCAGAGTGGGCAAATCCACACCTATATAAGATCATCTGACAATAAATAGTCACAAATATAATTTACACGTTGTTCAATAAAAAGTGGAATGTGAGAAATACACTGAAGGCAGTTTCACTATCTTCTAGGTTGTGAGGAGTGAGATTGTGCAAATAATGTAGCTATACTGTGTCAGGCGCATAAAAACTCGTGCTAAAGCTTGCTGTCATAATCATGATTTCTGGATGTTTAAATGAGTAGAGGCATGGAAGAGACAATCTGGAAAACCCTGTGGCATAAAGGCTTCACCGAGGCTGCGGAATCATGATTTAGAAAGAGAAATGAGACAGAATTTTGGAAATGATGGTATGTATGTTGTCATGGAAACAGGGACTGTGAGACTTTTGTGGTGCCTCAAGGGTAAGTCCATCTGGCTAAGAAGAGCCAGATCTGGTGAGGTAAGGAATGAGCAGAGGAGCAATTCAAGGTTCAGCCAACTGGCCATCACTCTTCATTCAAGATCAACATGGGGGCAAAGGGGAACTGAGAAGTTCTTTGGCTTAGGGCAGTACGTAGGAGTTTTGAATGTTTAAGGGTAACAGATGAGTAAATAAAAAGCTATAGAAGAAGGAATAGTGCTGGGTAATTTTGAAAGTCATAATGATATATATAAAACAGTACAAGAGGCCCTTTAATACTTCACGAATGGAAAAGAAAAAAAAAAAAGACATGTACACATTTAAAAAGAAACATTACAGGGGCGCCTGGGTGGCTCAGTGGTTAAGGCGCTGCCTTCAGCTCAGGTCATGATCTCAGGGTCCTGGGATCGAGTCCCGCATCGGGCTCTCTGCTCAGCGGGGAGCCTGCTTCCCTCTCTCTCTCTCTCTGCCTGCCTCTCCGTCTACTTGTGATCTCTCTCTGTCAAATAAATAAATAAAATCTTAAAAAAAAAAAAGAAACATTACATGCCTGGGTCTACATGCATGTATGTACACATATGCTAAATCAAAAGAGTAAGACTCCAGTAAGGCCTTGTGTTTCTGAGAGAAGGAGGATTTTACTAAGCAGTAAGGAAGTCTGGGGAGATCAGCAGAGACGGTGGAACTCAAGATGAGCCAAGGAGGACGGACAACTTCCAAAGACAAAGCAGGAAGGTGGAGATACAAGTTAGAGGACCAGGAACACCAAAGGTCCCTTTGGAGAATAACATAATTACCAGGGACTAGAGAAGATAGTTCATTTGGGGAAGTAAAAAGGAGAAAATAAAAGAGGCCTATGAAAAAGATCTTGAATTGAATCATTAAACTAAGAAGAAAGTTCATTTTGGCATGTACCAATAATATCAGAAAGTTATTTGGGGCCTTACTGGAGAAGGCCCTAAATGCCAAAATAAAGTACTTTGTTTTGTGAGCAACTGGCAGCCAAAATGTATTTTTAAGGTGAGCAATATACATAAAGAAGAATCAGAAAGCAATGTCTGGGAACATCATCAATGTCTATCAGCTAGAAACTGGTTGAATAAACTATGGTATGACCATTCAATGGAATACAACGCAGCTGAACCAAGAACAAGGAAGTTCTTCATGCAGCAATATGGAAAGATTTCCAAGATATACTGCTAAGTGAAAAAAAGCAAAGTACAGAATGGTTTTCAAACATATGCTCCTATTTATGTATCAAAGAGAAAAAGAAAATTCTAATTTGTACATTCATAAAATCTATCTAGAGGAATAGACAAGAATCTAGTCATAGTGGTTGCCAGTGGAGGGGGAGCTGGCTGGGTGCAGAACAAAGATGAGAGAATGAATTTTCACTATATATCCTTTCCACTTTTAAACTTTTGTATCAGGTAAGTGTGTTACCCAAGAAAGAAAAATACGTAAAATGTAAACCTTGTTAAAGTCTAAAAAATACTAATTCAATGGTGGAATTTAGTATTGGAGGGAAAAGAACATTTAGGTGACATTGCAAAAGTTCAGGGACATCAAATTAAGGGCTTGGATGACAGTAGTGCCTGGGGGACAGAAATCAAGAGATGGATGAGTGACATTGTGGAGGAAAATTCAAAGTGGCTTTTCCCACAGGTGTTTCATAGATAGTCCATCTCTCTTTCTCCATTCCCTCCCCCTGCGCACACACTCTCTCTCTCTCACACACATACACACACACACACACACACACGCACACACAACTGTTCACAAAAAAAAAAAAAAAAATGCTGGATAATCACAAAATCAGAAACACAGTATGCAGAATTTTCCAGACTTGATTTACGGAGCATCTCTTCAGAGAAGCAAACCACAGTCTTTGGGATGCTGCTCTCTTGTGACAGTCACATGCTCCTCTCCTCCCTGCAAGTAACAAGGGAATGCCCTTCTCTTCTTCCTCTACCACACAATATCCTCATGCACTGACTGCATAAGAAGTCTGTTCTTTGTGAAGGTGCCTTCAATGATGCCAATTTTCCCAACAGAAGTAGATGATGTCCTTATTTCTACCCCTACTACCCCCTACTACCCTACTACAGACCTCTATGACAACAACACATGTACCAGTTGCAAATGTGTCATCGTATGATTCTCCCATCCTATGTCATGAGCAACTTGGATGTTTTGTTCATCTTCATACCCCAATGGTTGCCTAGTAAATTGAATGGCATACAGTAGGTACTCAATAAAAGCATGAAGAAATTAATAAGTCAATGAAAGTATAAAATACTGGGCTCTGGAATCACAGTAGAAATGTGTAATTCCTGGCTCTGCTCCTGACTGGCCATCTGTCATTTCCCCTCCCTCTAACGGAACACACTAAGAGCTGGGTTGAGTGATTGCCCGTCTCTTCCAACTCTGTGTTCTAGCATTTGCTTTTGGCTAAAGGCCTATCACAATGAGCACTGTCCTTGTGCCAAAGGAAGGAGAGATATCCTCATGCCCAGCACAGGAGCTCCCCTACCAGCATCTCTCCTTTGGTGCACTGAGCCCAGAAATGGAAGTTGTAATGAAAGGAGCAGTGGGGGAACACTGAGCAGGCTGAAGGCTCCCTCTGCTTGCCCCCAAAGAAAATAAGCTGCTGTTGGCTTAGAACCAATATGCTACATCTTCCTGAAGAATGGCTCATTGGAAAAACAAGCCTCTTAAAAGTCTTCTTTGCTTTCATTTCATTTTGCAATATAACAAATTAGGAAACTATATTAAAATCATTCCCATAAAAAATCTCCCTAAGAAATAATATGAAGTGTCTGTGAGGGCTATGTCGCACCAGAGACAGGACAGGACACAGTGGCATGATTTACAAATCAGTGGTCGGTTATCAAGTAAGCAAGATGCTTGCGGGAATGTCCAGAGGCAGCACTTCTATTAAAAGGGCACAGATTCATTCTTTCCAGTTCACTACTAAATTGCTAAACTACTTTATAGGGTCATATTTTCAAATGATTGTTTCCCTAACATTTACTGATTGTGTAATTTATACTACTAAGTTAGCTGCTATTTAGAAGTACTGAAAAGAATCCAATAAAAATTCACTGTGAAACAAACAAACAAAAAATCCTAGGATCTACTGAATTCTTATTAACTAATGCTTATGTTTTGTAGAAGCTAAATGAATATGTTATTCTCTTGAAGGAGACAGAGTTTACTCATAGTTTATGATGTAACCTTACATGATGCATCCACTCGGCAGAAAAAAGGACAACTTGTGCATTTTAACTTGGTACAAATAAATAGCAAACAAGACCTTGCAAGGTATCTCCCTACTCAGGCAGACTAGTGAACGTTTAATGTGTACTAAACCCATCAAAGGAGAAAAAAAGGAGGAAGGGGAATCAATTTAAGACACAATTGCTGTATTACACATCACAGCATGGAAGCCTCTCCTCTAAAGTGCCTTGAAATAGGACAGTAAAATAAACACTCCCAGTGAAATGTTTTGAGGGTGCATTGCCTCACTACAACTTCAGACTTGTCTGAAGTCTTTAGGGGCCTTCTAATCAGTACAACTCCTGCCTGTACCAGAAACAACCCCCCCGCAAAATTTTTACCCCTTTCTCCAGTACCCTTTGATAACCAAAGAAGGAAGGAAGACAAAAGAGACAATCTAATAAAAGGTCTCTTTGCGAGGGAAGACAAAGACAACTTTTGATAGCTATTTGGGACAATGTAACTTCGAAGAGGTCATTTTAAGGAGAAATAAATGGAGTATCTCCAAAATTGGAAAGTGTTTGTGCCTAGAATTTAGGTAATTACAGCCAGGGGAAGGAAATGGGAACAGCTGGTGTGGGGTTGCCAAGTTAAATTGACTCAGGGTGGGAGAAGCAGAACTAGCAAGCAGGATCTTAGTTTCCTGAAAGAAAAGGAATAGGCTGGGAGTTCCTGGCCAGGAAAGAACATGGTCCCCAGCTGGTGACCTTCTGGGTCCTCCCTTCAGATCCCTCTTCCTGTCCAAGAGGAACTGAGCAAGTTTTCCACCAAAGTTGAGTAAAAGAGGAATATTTCTTATGCTCCCCAGCTCCATCCTCTTAACTAATTTCAAAACTTCAAAACAAGACTAGGAAATATTAGATGGGCTGTTATGAACACCTTGGTCCTCACTGAGGAGGTGGGTCTCGTCCTTCCCCTCAAGCATGC